TGTAAATTGCTACAGTAAGCCAAATTGCAAGCCAACGAAATTAACCCAAATATCTTACTTGCACAAAAAGTGAAAATTTAAAAGTAACTCTGAAGTGTGGGTGTTCATGTACATACATATGTATGTACTATAGCTACTTAGGTAAAGCGAATTGCTCACTCACACACCATCTCTGTGAAGCACTAGGACTTTACAAAGTTCCAAACAAGCTGGTGCAGTTTCATTATTTTAACATACAACGCAAGAAAAGGCATTACCTGCTGGAAATCCCAAATTAAACTCAATATTATCAACTAATGAATACCAAAAGCTTCGTCAGTCGTTCGATACCAAACGAGGTTTCAGACAAGCCGACTACACATCGTGCGATTTCTTCAATCTATGCCTGGAAAAAATAAGTCGAGCTGCAGAACTAAATAGAGAAGCTACCATCTTCTGATGATATTGATATAGTTGGCCTCAATAACCACGCCGTTAGTTCTGCTTTTTCCATAATGGGTAAGGAAGTGAAGCAAGTAAGTCGAAGGCAAGACGAAATATCTCCTGTCATCAAACAAACAGTCGTCGCACTACCGAATTGGCTCCCACGTCACTGTTGACAGTCCTAACTTCGTTGTCGTATATAATTTTGGCTCTCTTGAAACCAGCGTTAACACCAACAGTAATGTCAACCTGGACATAGCTCTTTCTATTTTTTATTAGAATTAACTTCTGATAGTAATATGAGTTACGACCGAATCCACAGGCACCGCGTACCTCTGACCACTGAGCCTCCATTTCTGAAGGAATTATACAATCAAAACAATAATAAAAAAGGTAAATAGTTTGATCGTGCAGATACTTTGGAATATTCAAGTTAAAATCTAGCTGAACTGCCAGACAATTTAAAATCTGAAAAATCAAACGCTAGTAAGTACAACGGCCTTCACGGCAGACATAGCAGAAGCTGATGTTAGCCGACTCAACAAATTTGTGCGCTCAAAGCGCTTTGCCGATCTATAAGGGTCTTATATTCCAAATAAAATCCCTGATCTCTTAACCTAACCCAGAAAAAATAATATTTTTAATAAAAACCTCAGCTTTTCCATCTTCGTACAATTCTTCACTTCCCACTTGGACTATATTATTAGCGCAGCTCACTATATCCCAACCTTCTTATAAGCTGGAAAAGGAACTGTTCTCAAAACATGTTTACAATCTTGTCTTAGTTTTGTGGCAGCAAACATATTGTTGCTTGATTATTCCAAATTTGCCCCTCTTGGAGATTTTCGTTTTTATGTTATCGTCTACTTGCACTTTTCCAGCAATTTCGCAAATATTTATTTCCTTGTTTAAATTATCTAACATTTCTTTCGCTTAAGGTTCTCTTGGCCGAAAACAGTCGCCAAATTCCGGCTGCTGCAATGGTTGAACCACACCTCATACGCAGTGCAACCGAACTTTTATACTTGTATATATTTTTGAATATACCGACATACATATAATATATATATACAGAGACTAGTAAATGCAATTATTCCGAAAATTGCGTTATCGTTTTGCCAAGCAGCAAGCAACCAATAACAGCAACAATAATGTTTAGTCTAACTGCCAACAGCTGGCAGCCAATATCTGACACCCAGCAACCCACAAAGTGCATAACCACCGACTCATTGAGTCAACGGGTGGTCACCAAGTGTTTCCTCCTCAACCTCTGCAATTTGTTTAATTTTTGTGTTTTTTATTGTTGCTGTTTTTTTTCTGTTGTGCCTTATATTGACTAGCAGTTCATTAGTTTAGTTATTTTGGCAAGTATTCACGCTAATATTCGTACGAGTTTGGTAATCAGCATTAGGGTTCCTTAAAAGTATCCGAAAGAGCTTGTTGCTTGTGTTTTAATAGTCTTTATATAGCAATATAAAATCAGCTCATAGTTCAATTATATAGTTCTAGAAGCTCTGCTCTTAAGCAGCACTTTCCTTATGAGTTTAAATATAATTTTCAAAAACCTCAAGACAGTTTTGATGAACTAAACATTCTATCCAAACAAGTTGAAACGTCGAGTATTTATTGTATTAATCATCTATTCGTTGCTTTGAGTAAAAAAGCTTGCGCTTCCCTGGTCATAGAGAGATAGTGAAGAAATTGAGGCTTTGCACTGCGACCTATGGTATATTTTGCCCTCTTCTATATCACATATAGTCCTGCGTTCCGAACAATTCCAGGAGACTGCTGGGCTCAACTGAGGTGATGCCTGTTCACGTAGATGGAACTTAGGGCCTTGAGTCTACTTCTACAAATTGCTGGCCAATCCAAAATCAGGTGTTCTGGAGTTTCCTGTTCCATGTCGCATAAGCGGCAGTTTGCAGTTACTCATTTGTTCCATTATAAAAAAAAAACATCGGACTAGGTATTCACTGTAAAACGTTCTCTCTAAATTGAAACTAGATATCTTCAAAACTCTTCCTTTGAGAGTGGAAACCGTTTCGAAAAACACCAATCTGAGAAAAACGCGTTTAAAGATTGGAGTCGCTTTGTTCCCCACTATGTTCCCTTTCTACAACAAACGCTGTAGTGACCGTAATAATTTCAATTTCGACTACAAAATTTGAAAGAATGTTTATTATAGTATATACTTTCCGATAACGCAACAAAAAAAAATCGATTTTTCAAAATTTGCACACTGAGACGAACCTTAATCCGTGGAAAATATAATAAAAATGAATTTGACTTCATGAAATTTATTGATATTAGTTAAATTAACCGTCTGACATTCTTTTCTATTTGGCTCTCAAATAATACTCGTATTAGTCACTCTCTTTCGCATTTTTAATATTTTTTTTTTTTTTTGCCCTCAAATACTCGCTCGCGCTCGCAGTACTTCAAATCATCAAACTTTACCAGGACAATATCTATATAGAACTATTCATATGGATATTGAATCCGATTTGCTAGAAAAAGTTAATTTCCAGCCAAAATATATTAATTCTCTTGAATTTTTGATAACAAGAAGAAGGGGAACTCTAGGTACTACTTTCTGGTACTCTTTAGTTGTTATGCTTAGGAATATTGCAAGCTTTCCGTTGAGCGTCTTTAAAAATGTGACAATTTTTGTACTCACCGAAGGATAAGAGAGGAATCCCTAGTGTCACTTTGGTTTAAACTGCAACTACCAAAGAGCAAAGCTTCCAAACCTTTTTTCAAAATTAAGCAGCATAGCCATGCAACATGGCTAGGAATTTTTATCACTGCACATTATTGTTGTTGTTTTGTTCACGTATCACTTTTGGCAAATAAACAAATCTTTGGAACGTTATGTAAGCAATATTCGTAATTAATGGACATTTTCGCCAGTAAATTAAGTCATTTTCACAAACAGCTGCAGCTGCTGCCTGAAAAGATAGGAGAATAATATTAGAAGCTAATAACTTTTTTCGATAGAATTGGAAATTTATAGCTTGCTTAAATCAATAGGTCATGCGAAGATTTATATAGGTGGATACATTTGTTTCCATAGTGTTGTTTGTGGTAAAATGAAGTAAGGTTAGGCTGGGAAAGACGTTCGTCATTTTCCGAACTATTGCAAGAATTATTTCTGCAGATAATTAAGTACAATGAAAAAATTAATCTAGTTCCTGAGTTCCAAAGATGTCAGGAGATATACAAGTAGTTCTGATTCAGTAAAGTATCCAACAAAAGCAAAATGGATTTTTAATAATCATTTCTAATTTCAAGCTTGGAGGATAAACAAGAGATTCTCGAAATATCTGCAATGAGCTATCAATTTAGCAAAAAATTGGTCCCACTTAGTAAATAAGTTTGTTACGATCCTTTTGTTTTGCATCGGCAGTTTTGAATTATGAAACGTCCTTGAAAACTTCTTCGTACGACTATTGACGGCAGGAGAATTAGGGCATATCTCGGTGCAAAAGGGGGTTGGGCAAACACTCACTGCATGACCCAACTTTTCAACTTGGAAACAAGGTTCAAAGTAAACACTGAAAAAATGGCTGGCGTAAAGGTATGTTAGCTACGCGCAATACTCTAAACATCTGTACTAATGGCTCGAAAATGTACGTTGGAGTTAGTGCGTTTAAGTTGCCGGATCACGGCAGTATATTTCAAGCTGAGGTCTTTGCTACTGCGAGGGCCTCTAATGAACCTGCAGGCAATTCCTGAGTCAATATTTACGTAGACAGCCAAGCAACAATCAAGGCAGTAAATTCGTATCGCATATCGGTCAGAAATGTCTTAAGAATCAGGGCAGCAATGAAAAGAGTTTCCACAAGTAAAAAACTTCACTTATACTGGTTGCCAGGCCACAAAGAGATCGAGGGCAATGTAACAGTGGACGAGATTGCCGAGAATGGTGTACCGCTAGCAACTGAACTCCATCTGGTATCGCAAACGACCAAAATTGGTCTGTGAGCGGCTTATTGGCCTACCAGATTAATCTAGCATAACCTGACCTAGCATTAATAGTCATTATTGAAAGAAAAGAGCATCCGTCGTAAACTTACAGCTCTGCTTACAGCTTTGTGAGTTTAACATTCTAAACTGATTAGAAATAGTCAAGGCCGGCCCTTCCGCAAAGGCAAGTTGCCGAATTGCATAGTTCGCAAGAATGTAAGCGCGACAATTTTACTAGTTTTCTTTACACAATTATACCCTGAACAGTTTGAAAGGAAAAAATATGGTAAGCTTAGAAGGGTTTTAAAATTTGTCATTTTGCCATGGCAGTAAATTGTCTCGGAGCGGTCTTGGTAATAGTAGCAATCGTTCAAACTTCTAATTTTGTATAGATCGGACAATATAATCTGTAGCTTGAAGTGAGAAATCTTTGTCGGGGACCAAATCAAACTCCACCACTTCCACCACATTTATTACTATTTATATAAGCTTCACAAGCTATTTAAATATTGCACAGTGACTATAATTACAACAAATACCACATAAGTTTATATACAGTTTTGTCTTTTTACTAACGAACATTTTACATTTCCTCTGTGTCTCTTCCGCAGGTGGAAACAAGTAATGAGATGTATCGTGCTGTCATCGAAGAGATCGCACGTTTCCTTGATCGTTATCAAACACAAAAACAACAACAACGCCAATTACAACAACAGCAACAGATATCCCGTTCCAAGAGTCTCTACCAAGTCTACGATGGCAACAGCGCTGGCGAAGGTCATGAACAAAGCGCCAGCGGTGTTGCTGTCTTTGGAGATAAATCAATAAGCACATCTTCTGCATGTTTGCGCACGCGCAGCACTAGCAACCTGATCGTAGATTTCAAGCAATCGGCCATACACAATGGCAACGCCGCAAAATCAGGTGGCGCCAACATGAAGCATAGCAGTCTGGCCACAGCAGCAGCAGATAAGCGGAGTTATGATGCCATTAACACAACCAACAACAATGCATACACAACATTTAAGGACTTTACCTGGTATGCAAACACTTAAGATATTTTATAAACGAGTAATTATTATTAATTATTGCATTTATTTCCCCCTCCCGCCCGCAAACACAGGCGCCGTTCACCCAAAAAGTATGCCGAGTTCAAAGCTCAGGCCGCCGCTGATGATCTTGAGGAAAAACTCAACCAGGAAGCTTTTCGCCTGTCGCGCACCATACACAATCTACTCAACACATCTACACGTCAACCGGATTTAACGCAGCACCGTAACGCCGCGTCGACGTGCAACAATGCACTGCATACGAAAGTGGCGAAACCCACAACAATACCGACCAACATACCGACAACACACATTACACCTGCTCAAAACAATGCGAGCAACAAGAAAATGAATGCCACAGCCGCTACGGACAAGCATAACAGTCGCAACGTCCCAGCCGCCGCCACCAACTCGCTTGCCAACGCCACTGCGGATATGCTCTTCCTGCGCGCCAACAATATACGCGACTCGCGCCTGTCGTTGCGTAGTTCCACTGATAGCTCTGTACATTCCACCACCTCCAATTCGTCTGCGGTGTCCACTTCCTCCTCTTCGGCAGCTTCGACTTCATCGGGCAAGGTGGAAACGGACGAAGATGTCACGCTACATCATCCCTTCCATCCGATTGCGCTGTCATCATTCAAACAGCACCAACATCCGCTCAGCTCAGCCACCGAAGACGAAAGTGGTTTCAGTTCGATTAGCTCATTTCAGGATATCGGTTTACCGCTGTGCTCCACAATGATTTCGAACGGCACATCCACACCGAATCGCTTATCGTTGGCCAGCGTCAAATTGGACTCAACCAGTTTGGGCAATGGCAACGGTGCGACCGTTGCTGGGCTGTGTGATGTCGAGCCGCGCGAATTAGCTTGTGATAGCCGTAATTCGACCTTGAAAGCCAATCATCCCGGCAATGTGCTGGGCGTACCACTGCAGGCTACACACGACATGCAACACCGTTGGGATACAACATCGAAAACTAGTTATCGCAACGCCAACAAATATCAGCGTTTCTCCACGCTCTCCAATGAGGAGGCGTCCGCTGTACTTTGGGTGTAGGAATACGCAAATCGGCCTCAATTCTACTTAGTGCATTTAATTTATTAAATGTTTCTTTTAGTAAAGAAATCGAAAGAATCACATACATACAAACATATACAGTAAATATTTATAAGTATATTTAACTTGGTTTCATTTCGGCGAATTCTAAAGGAAATTTTAATCAGAAATTTAGATATTTAGTATATTTAGTACTGTTATAAGATGGTACGATTCCGTGCCTTTTAATATGTTAAATGTTATTTTTAGAGAAGTATAAATTTTATGATATTCATTTTTAAATTCTTCCAGTTTCTGTCGCACGAATTCGCAGTTGCATTTATTTCGCTATACATACATACATAAACATATATATACGATACATAGTTTTAAAAACGTTTACTAAACGCTAAGATATTATTGAAAATTAAATAAAACGCCAATTGGTCTAATTAGATTACACTGAAAAAAAAACTATCTTTCTTATGAAATACCTTTGGGATCCTTGTGAGGGTTAGTAACATATTTCCTAAAGAGTTCATACCATCATGAAACATTACATAAATACTTGTAGTGTTGAGAAATCCCGGTGAAGTAATAGTTTTTTTAGGGTTTTAAACAGGTTGCCGTTAGGTGCACTATATTTAGCTAATGCGTAATTTAGTGAACGTAGGATCGACACACATCACCTCTTCGTCGATATCAAAGATGCTTTTCACGGCACGAAAAGGAGCTGTCTATATGGCACTGTGTCTGAACTTGGTATTTCCGCAAACTGACGGTAGGCACTACCAAAAGCTCCGTCAGGGTCGGGAAGGACCTCTTCGAGCCGTTCGATAACATACGAGATTTCAAGCAAGGCGACTCCCTACTAGGGCAAGACGAAATACCTCCTGTCATCATACAAACAGTCGTCGCACTCACGACTTGGCTTCCACGCCACTGTTGTAAATCATAACTTCGAAGTCGTAGATTATTTCATCTGTCCTTGAACCAGCATTAGACAAATGAGAAGTACGAGTATAGTTCTCTCTCGACAAACAAAGACGAAATTCCATAAGTCAATCATTATTCGGTCACTCTATATGGTACAGAGGTATGGACAATGACAACTTCTGATGAGTCGACGTTAAGAGTTTTCAGATACGTTTTGCGGAAGATTTATGGTCCTTTGCTCATTGGCAAACGCGAATATCGCATTCGATGGAACAAGGTGTACGAAAAAACTCCACTTCGTTGGAAAGATCGGGTGGAGAAAGACCTGGATATACATGGAACCTCCAATTGCCCTATACAGCAAAAAGGAAGAACGACTAGTAGGCTATTGTAAACTCGGCTATAACCACGGGAGCGGTATCTACGCAATAAAGAGGAAGGAGAAGTACTTTAGTGATTGCGGTATTTTGGATGCGGGGAATTGCAGAAAAAACGCTCCATTTGACAAAGAAAAAAGTATTGTTCCTTCAAGGCAACATGGCGGCTACATATTCTCAGGTAGTCACAGTCAAATTGCTCTAATTATGCTACAAACCCATCCATTATGTTCTCCAGATTAGACCTTGTTGAACACGTTTGTATTTCCAAATTTAAAAAATATCATTTGGCGAACAAATTTTTTAATTGAATGAGATTGTTATCACCTAATTTGAACGGTGATTCGGTTTGTATAAAGCCGCGTTGAGGAATCGCTATGAAACTTTCACCAAAAATCTAAAAGAATACTGTAAATATATAGTACTAAAAATTGGGCACAACGGGCCACTGCATCCTATAGCTCACAGTAATTGTACTTGGGTGTAAATCGTATATATTCGTGGTATACCATAAGGCCAAAGAAGTAATGATGTTCGAAAATTGTATATTAAGTATATGGGGCCGAAGGGAAGTGTCGAGACAGGTGTAAAAAAAATGGAGCATCCTGCTGACATTGATCCTGACCCTCTTGGTGGTCTGCAAAAAAAAATCAAAAGAAATTCTCAATCAGTAAGGATGCTGTTATAGCCCCTATTTCAGGGAACACGAAAAAAATTTTTTTTGAAAAATGGCGACTGCCTGAAAATAAAAATCATTTTTTACGTTTTTTTTTTTTTTGAAATTCTTGAGTTTTTTAAAATATTAAAAACAAAGGATTCAAGATTATATAAAGATATAAAGATACAGGATAAAATACTATATAAAGAAGGTTCACACAAAATTTCAAGTAAATCGGTTGTATAGAACTTGAGATAATTTCGGTACCGTGTGAAAAAAAGTAGTTTCGAAAAAAACGCGTTTAAAAAAGTGAGTCTACCTACCTACCGGGCTAGGTACTGCGTCACTAAAGTAACTGTAGCTCTTAAAATAATTTTAATTTTCTTTGGAGGATATGTTCTTAAGGGTCTAAACTTTAAATATATGAAAAAAGATCGAATTTTTCAAAATTCTAGAGTAGAATACCCCCTTAAAAAGCACCCTTAGATTTTCAACGAAAACCGGTTTAGAAATACGAATATTGGACAATTTAAAGGCAATTTGAATACATTTTGACAAAAAATTGTGGAAGTATTTTTTTTTTTTAGATATTTGGCTTATGGGCAGAACAAATATGTAAAGGTAGAATCCTCGAATTGTTTGGATCGGATTGCTATAGCAGTCATATAAACTGACCGTTCAAAGTTCTTCGAAGTTGTAGCTTCGGTGCAATGTTGCCTCTCGTATTAGCTCGCTAAAAATATATTATTCGAATGCAAAAACATCTTCATGAAATGAAAAATATTTCATTAAAAATGCAACTTTCTTATACAAACCCACAAATTTATACTAGAACAAATATTTGAACGCCTTTTCACTTAACTACAATAGATAGTTGTATTTTATTGTAAAATATTTTATGTTTTCAAGATATTTGTGTTTTTGTAAATAATGTAGGCTTATACAAATATTATCATACTCGTTAAGCGAATCAATCATTCATACCAAATATGCGCATATTACAGCATAGACACTATAATTAAATACATTAATTATATAGATTATTGTTTATGTTTTATTATTAGAAAATCTCTTTGACAGTTACATTATGCATTATTTCCTTTCGTTTGTTTCAAATAAAACATTTACGCACATACATAGTAAAACAGAAAGCGACGAGAAAGTAAACAATATTAAAAAAATAAATTTAAATAAAAAAAATTAAAAAATCGAATAAGTTATTAATGTGTAGAAAATATTATGGTAGATATATATTTCGTAATCATATCAATTAAATTATGTAATATGTATTATTGTTAAAATTAAGATTAAAATAAGATGATGGAGGGTTTTGCGCAATTCTTAAAACGAGATTATAACCGAACACGATATTCGTTGACGTATATACATATACATATATATTTACAATGTCAAACACGACAAATACATACATACATATGCTAATTAAAAAAAAAGCTACAGACAATTTCATGTGAAAATCTTATATTTATGTGCCGATGCGAGACATTCTTGTGTAATTTGGCAACACACGCTTGCAATATATATATATACATTTTTAAATTCCATTATATTTCAGTTGAAAATCGTACAGGATCACGACGTACCGAAATGAGCAGATTAAACAGATTATTGTTGCTTTTGATTCTTTGTTTCATAAAAAACACATACGAAAGGGCTTAGTCCACCCATTATAAACATCACACATCACATGACAAGCAGTGCTAACGCTTCGTATAAACTGATAATGGTGAAACGTTACACAGCTGCAGTTGAAATCATTGTAAAATGTTCCAAAAGTTTGAGTTTGCTTAGAATGCAGCGCCTATAATCGAACACCGACAGCCAACTACAGGTTATATTTACCAACGCGAGTATAAATTTTGTGCGATGTAGCGCTGAATACACGATAATGCTTAGCAATTAACCGAGTAGCGAACAACTGCCGCTATTCAACAACATTCCTCAAACGCTGCTGCAGCTTTGTAAACAAATTCGAAACAGTTTATTTATGCATTTCACCGGCTCAACAGCTGCAACGCTTAAAGACGGCCCACAACACCCAGCGTCGAGGACTTATTTTTGCGCATCGGTTGTACGGAGAGTGGTGGCAGCAATATTTCCGATTGAACTGATGGTGAACTGCTGCGGTTACCCTCCTCATCGACCGCCTCCTGTGATGAAAAATAAAAAATAAGTATTATATTGTAAAATATTAATCAGCTGATTATGCGCGCGCTACTCACGTGTATATTTGCACAACTGGCCAAACGCATTTGCGCCAGTTGCGAGGCGGGCGTTAGTGAGTTTGTGCTGCCAAAAGGTGGTGTCATCATCGTGGAGACGGCTCGCTTCAGTTTCGAGGGAGTTTTGTTAAATGAAAATGCACGGCCCACCTGAGCAAAGTAAATATTTTCTTCATTATAAGCAGGCAAAGGAGGCGGAAGGGAAAGAGAGTCAAACATTAAAGCAAACTACTTACATACGAATAATAACAACAACATATATTTATTATATACTTATATTACATACATATATGTAGGTCTTGCAAATAATGCTCAATTCATTTAAGAATTTATATGCTTCTAGAATATAACCTCAAAAATGGCAACGTTATTTAATTTGTGAACTAGTTAAACAAAGGAGGTGGTTATTACGCGGTACCATGCTTATTTTTTTAAATATACCCCTTCTTTTTTTTGACACCCTGAGCTAAATTTAAGGGATATATCATAATAATTTACATGTGATTTTCAAAACATCGATTTTTTCAAATATCGAATTTATATATATTTGAGCATATTCTTTGAAAATGTGTAGTTGATCCGGCAAACAATTTCGGAGATATGAGCACATTTATAAGAATTTGTTTAACTTAGTGTAATTGGCTCACAAAACTTTAAACGCGTATAAAATATCCGATCAACATTGTAACAAAAAAGAACCCGAAAATTGTAAATAAACGCGAAATATTGATCAATATTTATTTTGTCGCCTTCATGTAATCTCCACCACATGCAATATCTTATGTCAACTATTTTTCCAGTTCTCGAAACACTTTTCATAAGCACTTTGCACTTTCGGCTGGCCTTCAGATCCTTCTGCGAATTTGATTTTATCTCCTTGATAGACAAAAACCATAACCCGAAACGGCAATTTCAGTTTGGGTGA